ATACAGTAACCATGCACACCTGGGCATTGCTTTGAACGGAACCGGGCTTTGACAGAGTGCGAACTTCAGACACGGTTGGCCCACGAGAGCGGGAAAGGGTTTCCGGTCCAGCGTGTGTGTGCAGTGCACAACATGGGTGTGTAGACGTGCATGCGAATTGTGCATTGCGTTTGCGTGGCCAAGGCGTGTTGGGCACATGGGTACTCTGAGTCTTTTGGGTGTGGCCATCCCTGTGAGCACGTCTGTCTCGGATAGTAGCATGATAAAATGACAGTGCTTACAAAGCTGCTCACGCCCGTCTGGCACTTCCTAGATGCCAGGTGCCATCTGAGCTCTTCACGCAGACTCGACTTTCACAGCTCTGAAGCAGCGCTGTCCCATTCTGTGGAGGAGGGAGCCAGGACCGGGAGAGGTTGGCACCCTTTCCGGAGGCCACCCAGCCCTCTGTGTGTGCAGAGCTGGGATGCACACACAGCTGTCATCCTCGGAGTTGTGCTCCTGACTCCACCGAGGGAAGCACAGGGCCCCTGACCTCCGTGTGGCCTTCCAGTCAGTCCCGCTTTCCAGGGGCAGCCTGTGGAGATGGCAGTGCTCCTTGGTCACTCTGCTAATTTGTACCTCCCTCCCTGTGCAGAGCTGTTTCATCCACTCCTTGTGAGACTAGAATTTTTTCAACCAAGCAAGACTTGCAGCAGGGAGCTGATAGCAGACCCCTGACCTGTGGCACGCCCCACCACGCAGTCCTCTGTCCTGTTGGATCTTCGGCCCCGGGAGCTTAACTGTGGTGCGGGCGCGCTCGGTTCATTGAGAGCAGCATCAGCGTTCTGTAAGTTCATGATGCAAATCAGAAACAAAGCCAGGGGAAAGAGGCTCATTAATCATTTAAAATAGTCTTTCCATTAGTGTAATTTCTATTTATGACAATTCGCTAATTTATTTGAGCTGAAGTGGGGCTGGGCTAAGTCCCTGCACCTGTAGTTTTTCACTCCAGAGCTGGCACATGGGACACAGACAGCCAGAGTGGGGGTGCCAGGGAAGCACGCCCCACCTCAGAGCCCCCACTTCTGGGCAGCACCTCGAGGACAGCCTGAAAACGTCGGCTGCAGCCCCTCGTGGTGGTCCTCCAGTTTCCAACCCATGTACCGTGGCTGTAACTGGCCATTCCGTGTGGACGCGCCTCTGTGAGGTGAGCGGACACACCTGCGGTCTGGAGGGTCCGGATCCACACACATCTCTGCGGCTGCGTCTCCCGAGGCAGATTCCCAAGCAGTCGTGTGTCCCAGACGTCTCGCCGGGCCACATCGGCCTCCGTCACAGACACGGATGGACTCTCCACAGCCGCACGATGGCTTCAGACGCTGGCGACGCGGTACGCTCCCAGATACCTCACTGCTGGCTCCTAGCAGAGCTGAGAGCCACAGGGTAGTGCTCTCCTTGTGCATTTTCTTAGCATCTGGCTGTGTTTCCCAAAGATTCGGGAGGAAACTCTCATGGTCCCCAAGATACGTAGATGGGCCGAGAGCCTCGCGAGGACGTTTGTAAGGAAAAGGCTCCGCACAAGTATTAAAGAACTGATGAAATGTCGGAAGTGATGATGACGAATACTAGCAAGTAGAATATAACCCTTCCACAGGCCGGGGCTTCTCAAAGGTGGCGGACTGCACAGTGGTCTCTCCAGCACCTGACAGCATACGCAGCGGGTGTGGGTAACTCTTGGTGGGAGACGGGCCCTCAGAGCCGAGCGGGGAGTTCCATAGCACAAGCACAGCTCCATGGGCCAGAGCAGGGTGGCGGGAACACCCACAGAGGAAGGCTGTTGGCGTCTGGGGTGGGGGTGGATCAGCCAGGACTTCCCAGATAAGGCGATGTTTCAGCTCTAGAAGACGGAGTGGTGGTGGGGGAGCGTGTGCCAGGCAGACCCATTCAGAGTGCTCCAGCGGGTAGAAGACGGCAGAGCAGCGAGTAGCAGCAGAGTCAACCCACGCACATGTGAATGCACGGGCCGTGAGGCCTACAAATAGAGTTCGTTGGGCCAAACAAAGTCCTAGGGGGAACCAGCAGTTAGCGTAATGGCTATGTCGCTGGACTCCCACGTAGTCAACCGCGGTTTGCGTCCCGGACCTGGTGGCTTAAAACTCACGCCAGGCACGTGTGCGTGCATGCCCAAGATCCCGAGAGGAGAATGGAAGAGAAGGGATTGCAGCGTGGCCATCCCCCCTCGGGGGTGATTTCCTGCTTTCTGTCTCTCTGTCTCTGTCTGGCGAGCGCACGCGTGCTATAGCAAAAACCTCTCCAAAAAAAAAAAGAATTAAAAAAATAACAAGTCCTAGGGCCTTGCTGGTTGTGCTGGGGATTCTGTCTCAAGAGCAGTGGGTAGCCACACCGCACTCTCAGGGGCTTAGAACTGCAAGCAGCCTCTGAACTCTGTCCTGATTCCCACTCTTTCTGTTCTGTGAAGTACTGTATTCTTCCAGGGAAACTGAGGCGCTGAGCAGTGGGAAGGCAGGGCTGCCTGCTTGTTGACCTTGCTGGTTTGAGCAGGGATCTGGAGATTAACTGAGGGGTTCAGCCCAGCCCTGGGCCCCACAGCTGCTGCGTCCAAGGGCTTGCAGCTAACCAGAAGCAGCACATGCTGCAGGGGGGGTCCAGGCAAGCTTAGAGGTCTCTGTAAAAGAGATCATGTCTCCTTGCAGAGGTCTCAGCAACTGCCTGTGGCCGCCCTCCCGACGGGAGCTGGGCTTCGTTGTCCTTAAGGGCCGGCCCCTGGGATGCCCAGCAAGCCATGGGCAAGGGCATCGCCGGGGGTGTGGCCCAGTGGCTATCACCTGTGGAGATTTCAGCCCTCCTGCTGCCAGAGTCCTTGCTGCCACCTTCTAGGGTACGGGCACATTGCAGGGACCAGCACCTGTTGACAGCCAGAACATGTCCCTGCTATGTCCCTGCGTGGCTTGGAAGAGCAGTTTTTTCTACCTCATGGAGCTGCCTCAAGGCCCAGGCCCACCTGCCCTGTGGGCACCAGGGCCTTCCTTTGTCAAGGGGTCTCTGGCTCCTGGTTTCCAGGTTCACTCTGAGAAGCAACATGATGCGTCTCATAGTGGCTGAAGAGGGGACTGTGGCAGCAGACTGCCTGGGGCCACGCCTGGGCACTGCTGCTTCCTGGCAGTGTCCGCTTTCCTGTTCTCTTGTGGGTCTGAAACTTTGACAAGTTCTTCAGAATGGAAATGACAGTGCCACTCATACGCACCGTGTTCTGGAGTCCCGACTTAATGATGTGAGTGTGAAATCGAGATCCGCGCTGAGCTTACCCAGGGCCCCGGCACAGTCCTCCGGTGTGCCTCGATAGAAGCATAGCAGTCAAGTCGCGACAGGACTGGCGGCGTGACTGGCTCTGCGCCCTGGCGCTGGACTTCCGCACTGAACAGTAGTAGCGGCCGTCACGTGAGGTCCCAGCTGCACGGTGGCTGGCCCGTCAGCTCTGTTGCCATTTGGGAGTGCAGGCTTGACGTGAGACTGTCAGTAGCTTATGGGCTGGGTGGGAGGGGCGTGTGCATGCAGCTAGTTGGCTTTATCAGCGCAGCTGCGTCATTCGTGGCTCATGTCCGAGAGCAAGTGAATGCAGAAATATGCTTTGGGCCAGTGTCCAGAGCCCGGGGCCATTCGGCACCACGGCAGTGACTGCCACACCAGCCTGCGCCTCTGATGCGTCGTTTCCGAGCTCCTGGTCCTGGGCGCGTCCGGCAGGCACTGCTCCTGCTCTGCAGACACGGTGCTCTCTGTCCCAGCAGCCTGGCCTGAGCTTTCTCACGAGGGCGTGCCGGCCGTGGTCTGAGGTCCCGATTGCACCCGGTGGAGATCAACCCGGGACAAATGGGGGAGAGCAGGAAGGAGCAAGCCCTTGCACCTTGAACCCACGGGACCGCCCTTGACATCCACCCACCCGGCTCTCACAGACTTGCTCCTGATGTCAGGGCACTTTACGGTGTGACATCCTTGTACTCAGTGGACACCTTTGCACAGCGATGAAGGTGCACAGAGCTGAAAAAGTACGTGTTCCCCTCTGCTCTGAGCCCGGCCCCCTCCCAGAGTGCCCACTGTTGTTTGCTCCTCACATCAGCCTTTAGCATTGGTGAGGCTTTAGGGACAGCTGGACCCCCACCGCCCCGCCCAGGACCTGTGGGTTAGGCTAGGCCAGGGGCCGATTGCACCTGCGCTGAGAGCAAGGCCCTTTCCGTTGCCGGATGATCCAGGGCAGCGGCCGTTTCGTTTCCTCGTGTTAGGTATTGTGAGTGATCCAGAGTGCCGGCTGCATGGAGCAGAATTGACCTGCCAAAGCGGGATGAAGCGGCCCCCACTTGTCCGGTCACTAGAGAGCGGCAGAAACTGAAATTCCCACTTGTGATCCCAAGTTACGTACAGTAGCTCTCATTTCTGCGAGGAAGGGGAGAGGTTTGCCGATCTGTCCTGAGGGCTACGCAGGCGGTTTGGCTCGGCGCCGGCCAGAACACTATTCTCCGCGATTCCAAACCTGTTCTTCCGCTGGTACTTGCTGAGAGGCTTTACAGCGTCCCGATGACGAAGTCGCTTCGGTGGGCCTGTTTGTGGTGACACGCGCCACGTCATCAAGATGTACAACGCCACAGACGCCAGGCTCCGGGAAGCCGACCGCCGAGGTGGGGCTGAGCAGGGAGCCAGGACCCCATGCCTCGTGAAGATGAGCTTCCATCTTCCCTCGTTTCCCACCTGGAATAGTGGCGGGACCAGCGTTGCCCCAGGGGCCTCCCTTCCTAGACACACTGCTTGATCACAGTTGGGGGAGGTGGGGAGGCCCCTGACGGGTACGCGCACGCCGGACTTCCTGTACTCGGGGTGCTGTCTTCACCCGACGGGGGTTACCTAAGAGGAGGGAGGTGCGTCTGCTGTGGGAGGTTTCCCTCTGGGGGTCTCTGTCAGAAGCTTCTAGAAGGTCTCAGCAGAGCCAAGCTTTCCTTGACCGAGCTCACCCCTCTCTGAAGCGCAGTGGCGAGGCCAGTGTGGAAGGACTCCTGAACCAGCTCGTCCTGGAGCACCTGCAGCTGGCGCCGCTGCAGTGGGGGGAGGACCTGCCGCGCCCCTAGCCCGG